AAAAACTTAGGTCCCAGATTTCTGAGCAAAATGACAAGCACAATTAGTTACAAGATGTAGAGCCCCCCAAAATAAGCAACTTCTTTAAAATTTGCAATCCATTTGGACTCTGAGGCCTGAGAGAAATTTCTACTCCATATCCTCCTGAAGAGCATTGTATGCTATCATTGTAAATGCCCTTCATACTGTCCCACATTAAATACAATCAAGTCCCCACAGGGCTCTGTACTACAACATTCATGGTGTCTACTGAAGATTAAGTAAAAGTAATTATACAAGGCTAAAGTAAGGTAGTACAGGGCAGGATCAGTCTGATTGGATGGAGCTGAGAACTTACTGCAAGAATGGTAGTTCATATCCTCCATAAATATTAACACAGCCACTGAGTACTTTTCTGGGCAAAAGAAATAACTCATGGTCAGGGCCAGTGTTTATCTTAGACCTAAGAGAAATGAAAACTCAATAACCCCAAAACTATATTATGAAAACAGAAACACCAAATACCTACCTTAGTCAAAAACACAGACTCAATTTAAATCAATCAGAGAATACCAAATTTTGAACTTGTTCTGATGAAATCTTCAAGGCAAATAGCAAAATGTTTCCCTGCATTCCAAGCCGCCAAATATGTATGATTTCTATACATCTATAGCTATATAAAGATTAGATAGATAGCTGGCTAGCCCATACCATAGGTATAACATGTTGGAGAATGCCTATCTACAATTATTCTTTGAAGTAGTTAGACTTAAGCCATTCTTTATTACAGTAATTAGGTAAGTCAACAGTCTATAAAGGTTACTTCTAGTTTGCACTGTTCACCCATAGAACAATGATTTCTTTCTCTTTTAGCAATGTTGGGAGCACCAGCGTTCAGTTCAACTCAAACAAATATCAAGTGAAAAAGACAATTTGGAAAATGGTAGAAAACAGAGGGAGGATAATAGTTTTTATTAACCTCCTGGAAGTTATTTTCTTATATGAGAAGGTGATATAATTATCTTCTCACTGTAATTATAATCACTATAATTATATGTCACTAATAACTATAATATTAGTTAAGTTACTTACCTGCTCTTTATATCAATATCCTCATCTATTCAATGAAAATAACAATAGCACTTCCTAGTTTTGTTGTCAGAAATGAGATAGTGCCTGTGATAGGCCTAGAATAGTACCCAGCACGTAATAAGTGCTCAATCAAGCTTAGCTAATATTCATCAGAAAGCAAAAAGTTCATAGTTTGGTCTTAAGGCTTATATCCAATTCTTACCAATACCATTAAAGTAAAATAAAAGCTAGTAAAAACCTGCAACAATTTTATATTATACCAGCAAATTTATCTATTATCCACTGGGTAACATAGAGCATCATGATGGAATTATTGGGCCTCTAATCTGCTCCTAACATAGAATCCAGCAGATCCTGGATATTCTAAATCATCAGAAATCACGTAAGTCAGCAGTCAGGAGTACTGTTACTGCATAAGATTTTCAAAACCAGAAATTCTTTCATGACCCTTTCTAATCACTAGGGAGGTAATGAATATACTACCACCAGTAGAAATCAACAAAGCTCTATTGAGATTCTAACTCTGGGATTCGGGGGATGATTGGGCTCATTGCTAGATAAATCACTGGATTCATAAATGCAAGTTTTGCAGCAGTATAATTCAAATTTGGGTTTCAGGAAAAAAATTTACATTATTACATATTGTTATTAGTTTTCTATGGCTGCATGACAAATTACCATACATTTATCAGCTTAAAACTATACTCATTTTTTCACTGACAGTTTCTGTGGGTCCAGGGATGACCTGACTGGATTCTCTGCTCAGGGTCTCACAAGGCCAAAATCAAGGTTAATGGCCAGGGCTGTGATCTCATGTGGAGCTCTGAGTTCCTGGCATCTATAGTGCTGTGGTTTCTATATGCTCATTGGCTGTCAGCTTCTCTCAAAATTTAGAGACTTCCTGCATTCCTTGCTACATGGACCCATCCATTTTTAAAGCCAGCAACAGATAGTTTCCCTTGCCTTGAATTTCTCTCATGCTTCAAAATTTGTCCCCAACCTCAAGACACTGTTTTAAAGTGAGCACAACTTTAAGTCAAGCCAACCAAGATAATTTCCCTTTTTAAATTTCAGTTGTGCCGTATAAAATAACCTAATTATAGGAGTGATATCCCAATAGATCTGTGATGTTAAGAATTATAGAGGGCATGGACAGACCAGTGGATGGGTCATTTAGGGGACATCTTAGAATTCTGCCTACCGCATAGTCAGAGACCTTAAGGATTAATCATTCAAAGTCTAGAGGGTCTACTATGTTGGCCTAGGATGCCAAGTCTTACAATTTAGAAGAAAGAAACTGGCATATATTTCAGAAGCATTGTTCAGTTATTCTATAAACTTGCTATTTTAAAATATAAGGTTGCCTTTTATAGAGATGATAAGTAAATTCTAAGATAAGATAGAACCATATTCTTGGCATTGAGGACAAAATCCAAAGAACCTGATCCCACCATTCTCCATGTGCTTTGTTTACCATGAATTTTTTCATCAACTGTCCCCTATATGGATATGTTACCAGCATTCATACAAAAAGTATCACAGAGGATCAAGAACATATAGAACAATTGCTCTTAATTAATTAATTTATTTTTTTCAATTGCTCTTAATTTATAAAGATGAGACAAATAAGGCTATCAGGAGTTGCCAGAATTTGAATTTCCAAGACTAAATTCAAGAAACTCATATCATGAGTAACTGTATTCTAGAATCCACTCACATGACTAGATCTACTGGCTTTATTTCACATCCTTCTATAAGGAATTGTATATTCTCTGTCTGTAAACAAAGAATAATATTAACATTAATGATTTGTTATGATCTGAGCCGAAGTTCTGAATTTTGTTCCCCATGTCATTTTGTGTGTTATATCACATTGTTTTTGTATTTTTTTGTTTCATAGGTGGTGGGTGAGTGGGTTGGCTGATTATTTTTGCTACTGGACCAACTTGGTAAAGTTAAAAAAATATGCATAGTTTGTTTTCAAATGTATTATGTTTTCATTATAGCACAGATATATGTATATGTATATATGTATATCATGTATCTATAAACTGGTTTTCTGATGATAACTTCATCACAAAAGATTATTAAATCAGGGAGGACTTACCTATTTCAATCAGCAATAAGAGATTATTTAGTAGCTCTCTGGAGCCCGCAGTTGTTAAGGATGCTGAGTTTGGCTAGGCCAGTATGAAAATTAAGGATGCTTGAATGAGGGAAGGGGATACAATGGCATATACTTGGTACCTTGTAAGAAGTTGCTCTTTCAGAATAAGCAAATACTGAGGAAGGGTTGTATACTAAATCATCTTTCTATAGATTCAATTTATTAGCTTAAATTTCTTGATGTCAGAAAGAACTTCAGAATCTCATGAGAATGTGCAGTAAAAAGGGGTTCTGACAGCAAGGAATGGCTTTAAAGAAGTCTGCAGATAAAGCTCCTCTCCTTCACAATATTATCTAGGGCAGCCTTGAGCCCTCCCTAAAGTCCACTCCCCAGGCCTACTAAAAACAAAGGACTTACTTTTGGTACCCACAAAACCTGTGAGTTTGATCCTTGATCCTATAAAATATTTTTTGGAGGCATGACAAGTAAATTTAAACTACAATATTTAGTTTGGTAGATAACTGTACATACATATGCAATCTTTCTTTTCTTAAAATATGTATGCAAGATGGGAAAAGGAGCAGGGCAGAGGAGTTAATCACTGAAAAAGTTTCTCCTTATACTCTTCACTGATGCATTAGATTGGAAATGCAGAGATCACATACAGCAAGACTGGTGTTAATGACCATAAACTCTACAGAAAGTGCCCTTAACATAACAGAAGACATACAGTGAATAAGGACTTGGAAAATAGAGTTACAACTTTGCAGAAGAACAGTGGTCTTCTGTTAACCCTAAAACTTTACTAAAAGGAGGGAAAGAGAGGGAAAAAGAAAAGGAGTGGAGCCTGGGGTGAGGGGAGACTGAAGCCAAAAGAGAGGGAGATGGAAAGGAAAATGGAGTTGGGGAGAAGATGTGAAAAGGATTGTATAAATTTGATTCTTGAATTTCATCAGGCCACATAAACAATGATGAGAACGTTTATCCTCTTAATAAAGATATAGCTAAGTTCCATTTAAATATATGCTTTTGTCTGACTATTTTATTTCCCTAGTTATCAAAAGTAATTATTCTAAGAAGATTTGAACTTGAATGACTGCCCAAAATATGTTATGATCCCATATAGGTGATGTAATTTCTCTTTTGGTTGATTTCTTCTTAATTAGTTTTTGTCAATGTTGTACTTTAATTACAAGCCAACATTTCAAGGTCTGTTTGTTTTTTGATTCAGAAAAATTAGTCTGTATCCTTTAGTTATGTAAAAAGTCTAACATTTAATTAGAAACACGTCATATCAGATTTATGTAATGGGCTGTAACCTTGCCAATGTCTACATTACTGCTGAGAGATAATCAGTCATTTCAGAAAGCACAGCCACTCTTGGAATACACTGGAGTTCCAAATCATTGTCTGTTCTTTGCATTCTTTTTATTTTCTTCCAGTTTATGTTAATCTCACATCTTTTTTCTTTGCCCCAAACTTCCCCAAATTCCTCATCATTGCATGTGTATTATTTCCACTCTTCCTTACTGACTGCTTTTTCCTTTAATTTCCTCATCTCAACTTGATAGAAACTATTTTCATTGTTGTGGTTTAATTTTGTGAGAAGATATAAAGGAAATGAAGTGAACTCTGAGAAAGCAAGTGTGTCCCAATGTTAACTTCCAACAGATTGAACACATTCTGAGGAAAGGTTCATATGAAATTGCTAAGATAGAACATCTCTATTTATACATAAACAAAAATCTATTTGAAAGGAACGCATCTCAGAAATTCCCCACACTCATGTTCTTAAAAGTCTCAAGAGTGAGGAATCAGTTACCTCAGCTTGACCAATAGGTATGTTTTCATAGTTGTATAAATTATCCAGGTCCTCCAAAGTGGCATCGTATGTTTCTGAGTCATAGTTGATGGGTTCCAGAGTTGGAGCAGTCCCAGCAGCATTGAAGATGACAAGTCCCAGAACGAGTCTTGCCAACATTTTGATTTTTCAAGCTTTCCTAATCAAAAAAGGCCCAAATGTATAAATATTTAATTGATGATAACTTATGAATATTTTTCACTAAATAGGAATAATAAATAAACATCAATGCTGTGGAACTCAAGCCGGTAGCTTTCTTTACACGGATCATTTATAAACATAACACGGGAAATTGTATGGATTCGGAAGACTTGTGATACCGATGCTCAAATTAATCACAAACCCATCCATGTTTTTACAGTAGATATTGTAATTACAGTGAAATTAAGTTTACTTCATAGAGAAACACAGAGAAAATAGGATGTGGAAATATTGTCATGCACTTATTCACAAAAGCTTGTGCATTAGAGTTTTACCTTTTACTAAGCATTAAGTTTCTTTCTTCAACTGGGAGTAGGAAGGAGGAGGAAGAGAACTATTTTACTGTTACTCCATTTTTCAGATGAGGAAACCGAAGCAGGGTTGGCTAGTGACCTAACTAGGACTCATAACTGTTTCTTGCACATTCAAGCCTGTGGCTTTTTCCAGTCAAAATAATGAAGGTATTTTTTTTTTTCACTTTTACTTCCTTCTTGCCTCTGGGTATCGTTAATGCATACATAATTTAATATACATACACATTAATATTTCACGCGATACTTTTCCTCAAAACTTATTCTTAACTGAATAGAGCAGAAAAGAAAATTATTTCTCCTTTAGTCCTTAGTGTTTTCTTTCAATTCTTAATAGCCATCTAAGCTTTAAACTCAGAATCAAGAATCCATGTCTAAAATATACTATTTGGTAAGATTTCCTTTGAGGAGGATTTCCACACACATAAGATTAAAAACTCTTTTGTTTTGTAATTCTTTGTTAAGCACAATTCTTATTTTCCATGATAACATCCTGCTTTTTGGGAGGATTCAATCAAAATCTTATAATTTTAATTATATTTATAATATATATGTAATATATTATAGATGTATAAATATGTATATATATAACATATATATAACATTTATAATTTTAATTATTTTAGTTCTGTATGTGCTCCTTTGAATACATTTTAGTTTAAGAAAAAAAACTCTCATGTTTAATTTTAAACATTTAAGTTGGGCCTATCAAAAATGTTACTTGGTGGTCCTTTATCGGGGAAGCAAAGCATTTGTAAAACTTTTTATCAGGCATGTCTAATTTTAAAGGTTTTGTATTTTGGATACACTTCTTAGGTTACTTCAAGAACAGGACCTCTGGTGTTTGTACCTATGCACACACGTAAAAGGAAATTCATGATAAATATTACTTTTAAACTTGAATACACTGGCAGACAAAATGACCTTCAGTTACTTGAAAGAAAGTCTTTATGAAGCAGGTTTAGGCAGAGGGATATGAAATCCCTCTGAGAAAAAGAAGCAGTACAAGGAGTTCCTTTTTATTCCCTCCTATGCTTTCTTCGAATCATTTTTTTTATTCACACTGGATAAGCTAAGGCTCTATTTTACCCGCCTTTGCAGGATTGGGGATTTGGAACCGCTGTACACAGTCACCAACAAGGTCCTACTTGATCAGCTGGTGTGATTTACAAATCTTCCAGGAACCATTCTTCCCTTTTCAAGTGGGAAGCAGTCACAGGGGCCACCACTAACCTCGAAAAAATATTTTCCTTCTACACTTCTGGCAACTTTCACTGTTCAAAGTAATTATGCACTTGCTGATTATTTTTCTCACTTCATACTCTGTATTTGATTATAAGTATCTACATTCTCAGAGTTTACTTGCATTGTGCATATCCTCTAGAGCTATCAGCAGTAAGAAAGTCTGTGCAAACCCTGGAACTATGAAGAACACCTCTCTATGTTTAGCTTTAAAAGGATGTTTCTTCCTTCAAGTGACTATACTAGTATTTAATGTAGTGCCTTTGTTGAGACTTTGAATTTGTTGTGCACTTCACACCATGTCATGATATTTTGAAAATTATGCTTATATAAAGCTTTAAACTATAGATGTTAAAAAGACATTCCAAATGCCTAATTCCCATAGGATCATCAATATGTTTTTAAACACCTGAAATCTCCCCTTTTTCTTCTGTTGTGTAATATTTCAATCAATACTAATCAATAGTGCCTAGCTATCCTGGCAAGGAACATGGTCTATGTCAGGGCACTTGCTTTAAGGAATATATTGGAAACTACTATAATTTTATTGGCATCTATCCTGACTACTAAGAGCAACTCTTTTACTGGGTGCTATTAATTCTTGGGCTAATTCAAAATTTTGGATTTTCCAAGAATAACATAAATATAAAATAGCAAACTTCAACCCAATCCATTGCATCCAAGTTCACCATGAAATATTAAAACAAATTGAATTATTTTTTAAAAGGTTACTATAGGAGGAAAAAAAGTCTCTGACCCAAGAAGAAAGCAAGTGTAAAAACTTACCTTTGGCTCCTACTTGGTGAAATGGCAGAGAGTGACTGAGGACGCAGAGCTGGTAATATTTGCCCCTGACCAATGGTTGTGAATTCTGGTCTGTGGGAGGTGGAGTTTATAACACTCAATTTTCTGTTTGGAAAAGCCAACCTTGAGAAATGCCTCTCAGTCTTTAGAAACCCCAAATTACTTTATAGTCGCTCAAAATAAGCAGTAGAATCCAAATGACATAGTGTATAGAGCTCTTGAAATTATGTTAAAGGAGTTCTCATTGCCAATGTATCCTCTTAAACATCTTAAATGGAAAAAGTTGGTTTTATTCTATTTCATCTATAACAAGTTCACCAGTTAAGAAAAAGTTAATGTGTACAGTGATACTATAGATGAATATTTTAGAATTGTTCTAATAAGAAATAATTTTCCTTGCATGTCTTGAATTGCTTTCGTCACTTTTCATTAATGTTAACAGAAATTCAATAAAGGTTGCAAAAGCCTTACCTGTTTTAATGTTGGGTAAGTAAAAAAAAAAATCCAAATTATTTCGATTACTTGGAATGCTCTGAGAGCAATGAAACAATAAACCCTCTGCATGCCCATTAAAAAAAAAAAAAAGTCCTGAAACTGCATAAATATGATCTGAGTGTTTTGAAAAAAAAAAAAAAGCTGCTTTTTTCTCCCTTTTATCTATGAGAGCCAAACAAATCAAATTACATAAAAACATTTTCCCCCAGAATACAAGATTTGTTGTAGGCTCCTGGTACCTGACATGGTTTGTGAGACTCAGCTTTATTTCAGATTTGGAGAGAAAATACGTTTGTATTAAACTTCCATTCTTCGCCTCCATTCACACTGCAAAAGTTCTAGAGGGAGACGAAACTTGTGTCATGCATTCTGGCTTCTGGCATGTTTTCCATAAATCCAGGAGTCTGGTTCTAACCTGGGCATCAGGAATCCTTTTTCCTTGACCAAAAGCAAATAGCTGTATTGAATTTTGGAAAGTGTATTAGGGCACACTGATGGAGGAGAGAGTCTGTCTTGAGGACTCCTACACCTCCTTCTGCCTTCCCTGCCATCCTCCCTCCCCACCCCGACCTTCTTTGCTTATGGATTCAGGGCGCTGTCAGTCATTATCCTCATCACCCACACCTGCTTCCACACGTCTACATGATTTGTGCTCAGTGTGCATTATTTTTCTTGGGACCAGTTTTATTTGTAATGGAAGCAGTGATTCTGGGTGAAGTACAGAAGCTACCAAGACCTCTCCAACAGCAGAGAGACCATCCTTGGGGGTAGGGATGCCTTCCCTGCCTCCTTGCAGTGTCATCTGATATGGAGGCTACTTTCAGAAGCACTTCTGGAAAGAGGACTGAATCCGAGTTCCCACGCTGGCTCTGTCACAGCAATGCCCTCCACTGTGTGTTCGAGGAGTTTATATGTGGTTAACTCTCTCAACACTTTCTCCATCAGAGGAGTTGTCCATTCACAGATGGGTGACACTTAAACATTAAGTTATCCAGTGTCACATGGGACACAAATAAAGAGAAAACCAAATTGGGTCAAGTTCCCAGATGTTACTGAGCTCATCTGAGGGATGCAGGTGAAGGTAAAAAGGTGGTGGTGTCTCTCAGTTTCTTAGATCCTAAGGCTGTTTACCTGTCACTAGGTGTTGGGCTCCTTTAGGTGCTTTAGGATAAAAAGAGATGAATAGCATATCCATGAAAATACCTAGTATTTCGTCTGCCTCCATTATTTAATCTAATACTCTGCACACATTGTAAGGTGACAATGTCATCTGACATCTAAGTAGTCCCTTCTTTTCCGAAAGGCTCTGGCTGTACCTGTAAGATTCTGTTTCCCAAAATAACATTTTCACACTATCCTTTAGTGACCTGTTGGTTTAAGTGACATTGTTCTTACGCTTCAGAACATTGTCTACTAATGCAATTATTTCACAACAATTTAATAACTAAATTCCTTATCCTAATATAGGATTGGAGGCAGAAATGATCACTCCTGAATCTTTTCTTTTTTTTTTCCAAATAGATAAGCCTTTCACTTCTCCTTATAAAATATAGATAATTTTTAAGTCAATCCTCTTGGTCTTATCTGGACTCTCACCAATATTTCAAAATCTGTGTTAAACTGTGGGAGCTCAAATTTGTAACAATCTCATGAGGACCTAATTTCTATTTAATAGTGAGAAGGATTAATTACCAGGTCCAGCCTTTCTTATCCTTGGTAAATATCTTTTAGCTTCATGCTAATTTTCTTAATAGAGCCTGAGCTTGGTTATCAGAAACCCTCAGGGGATCGGTTTTTAAGACTAGTTGCATTATATAGTAACTGAGGCTTTCTGGCTTTATCTCTTTAAGCCCCAAAACAGTTTACAAATCCTTTTGGCTACAATTCTTAACAAAATTAATTAAACGTCATCCTGCTTGCTTAAATGGAATTAATTTTAAATAGAATAGTCTTCTTTCAATGATGCTCTTTGTTCTGTAGAGTGGTGAACAGAGAGGAGCCCTCTGAGGACCGCACATTGCTGTCCTTGTCCTCAGCCCCAAAAGACCAGATCAGTAAGAGTGACAAGAGGGTGTAGATATCCCACCCCACGGATCATAAGGCATAAAACCATTCCCTGAAATGATTAGCTACCTTCCTCTGAAGAATCCGCATGTTGCCTTAGAGACTTTGTACTCATCAGTAGGAGTCCTAGAGTTTTGGACCATAAACCCACATCCACTGTGCTGTCTGTATCCCCTCATCTGATCTGATCACCTCCTCCAGAATATTTCAAGCCTGACCTGCCATCTGCAAACTCTCCTTTGCCCTCAGTTTCATTTTGGAAAATGTCCCTTTGCTTCTTTTATCTTAAAAGAATCTGGCTGTCTCCCGACAAAGTTTTCTGCTGCTGTGGCGGGTTTGATTTTTTTGTTGTTGTTGTTTTATTCTTCACTCACATAACTCAAAGATGGAGCAATTTTTCTTGTTTTACACTATTTCTTCCAAATGATTTGTCCTCTTCACTCTTTCAAATATTTTGCCCATTCTGAAACTCATGGCATTTGGTTTAACTACCAGTCACCTCTCCCTGTCATCAACTGCTTGATCTAGCCAAACCTCTTGTCACCTTTAGCTCATGGCTCACTCTTACCCTCTACTCAGACCCTGTCATTATTTCCAGGGATGCCAACCTCCATGTGCATGATCCATCTATCGTGGTGGCATGGCGGCTCCTTTAGCTTCACATGTGCAGTCAAGTTACCACGTTCCTACCCAGCTACTCACCATCACTGTCATGCCTTCTAGCTCATCATCGCCAAGTAGTACGTAACCCTACTAATGGGGCACTATTATTATTTTTCTTTTTGCCTAATGAGACCTTCTTGCCATAGCCTCCACCCCTTTTCCACAATTCATTGCATCTCTTACCTTTACATCTCTCCTTTCCTTTAGATTTGAAGCACCATTATCATATTTATACCTTCTCAAGCACTTTCTGCTTTCTTCTTTTTTTCTTTCGTTTTCCATCATACTTACCTGGAAAAACCTCAACTTTAGTTGAATACTACTCCCAACTTTCTTCTCTTCTGCATCTGAGGAGCTGTATATTACTAGTGAAAATCACACACAACAGTGATTGGTGTCAATTTAAATTCTTTAAATTGATCTCCAACCCTGGCCAACAGATCTACTATTCTAAAATGTCTATTTTATAACATTTCTTCTCTCAAACTTCCCGTATTCCTTTTCTATACACAGAAAGTCATTAGAGTGATGGTAGAAGTCATCAGAAAAATACTCTATAACTTTTGCCATCCAATCTACCCGCATGTATATGCATCCTCTGTGTTTTCTCCTTCTGTGACAGAGCAAGACGTTAAAAGTAAATTCCCCAAATGATGCCCACGATCTTATGCTCTTTCCTCTTTTTAAGATCTGTGCTTCTCTAATTATCTCCTCCCTCCCAGCATCTCCCTTTCTGCTAGGTCAGTTCTACATACAGACACATATACTCTGGGCAAAACTCAGGCAGGAATTCCCTCTAACACGAGTGAACTGAATGAAGGTAAAAAATGGTGGCTATAGAAGGGAGGGGGGTGAGGGGACGGGGTAACCAGGAGATGGGTATTAAGGAGGGCACGTTTTGTGATGAGCATTGGGTGTTATATACAACTAATACATCATTGAACACTACATCAAAAACTGCTGATGTACTGTATGTTGGCTAACTGAACATAATAAAAAGTAAATAAATGCAAAAAAAAATATGGTGCCTGCAGCAGTGTCTTTGAGAATACATGTGTAAGTCTAAAGACATTCAGAGTCAAATTATTTTAAAACACTGCAGAGTCCCAAAACTGTATCTGCAGACTTGATTCACTTTACATCTGAAATTATGCGTCAACTTTATAAAATACATTTTCATCTTATTACTGTCCTATTTTTATGACCCTTTTTATAGAAAAAAAATTCCCAAATCGTGTTTATTGCGTTTCCCCTTGCTCTGTTCCTATTCACTCTCCATTCCCTTGCAGTTTGGGCTCCGTATAGGTAATTTTCTGGCTTTGTCTTAACTGCTGTCCTAGCAGCCAACTTTGGTTTCACTGTGGTCTTCCTCTTACCCCACTGGCTTGCCTTGTCTGTTCCTTTGTCAGCCACCTCTTTCTCTCCCTGGCCTTTAAATTTTGGAGCGCCTCTGGTTTTAGTCCAATGATTCATCTTTTCTCTATTTATCCTTTCCCTTGAGTGCCCTCCACTATTTCCATGCTACAATTACGACAAAACAAGAATAATGTCAATACTAACTAACATTTTGAATGCTCACTATGCACCTGGCATTGTTTACTATCCTCACTTACTGAGGTCTGGGGAGGTTAAGTGACTTCAACCAGTAAGAGGCAGAGCCAAAGTCAAAGCTGAAGCAGTCTGGCAGCCACGTCCAAGTTCTTAGCCACAACACTGAACCACCACCTTCTGTTTACATACTCCAGCTTTACATCTCCCGTCCTCACCGTTCACTCTGAGCTGCAGATTCTTACATGCTCTACCGACTACCTTGGACTTGACATCTTCATTTGGATCCATCATTGGGCCATCACATTGTGCTCTGGACCCATTTTGTTCTTTTGCTTGTGGTGTTTAATTAAATGATATCACATCCCTCTCAGTTGACTCCAGTCCAGAGCCTTAAAATTATTGTAGATTTCTTCCATTTCCCTACTTTCACCCATCTAATCTATCAGAAGTTGGTTCTACTTCTTGTGTATCTCATTCCACCATCCTCTCTCATCTGGACGATCAAAAAAGCCCGTTACCAGGTCTCCTTGCTTCCCCTTTTGTGCTTCTACCATTTGGTCTCCAAACCCCAGCCAGAGGTCATCTAAAATGTAAATATGTAAAACTCAATGTTTTTTTCACTGAAACATTCAGTGGCTTCATATTTCTCTTTGAATACAATTAAACTTCTTACATCATGTCCCCAAAATCTCCCCATCAACTATAACCTACCTACTTCTCCAAGCTCGGATTAAGCACCACTCCCTCCGTCACTTGCTACAGGTGTACTAATGTCCTTTCTGTTCTTGAATCATGCCTGATTGTGCCTTCCTCAAAGCGTTGCACTTAATGTTGTCACCCTTTATGTTAGAATGGCTGGCTAGCTTTTTAAACTGTTCATGTTTTTGCATAAATACCACCTTAAAGGAGCTTTCCTGCTTAGCCCCCTCCCCATCAGAATGGACCATCTTCCTTTCCATCACACTCTAATGCCTATGCTATAATTGTGGGGTTTTGTCATAGCACTTGCCACAACCCATTATTATATTTTTCTGTTTTATATACATATAAAATATAGATAGATAGATAGATAGATAGATGGATAGATAACTAGCTAGATAGATCTCCCCCAGGTGAATATAAGCACCATGATGCATGAAATTTACAGGTCATATTCACAATTGTATCCTTAGTGTCTAAAACTGTCCTTGGCTCACAATTCATGCTCAGTATTATTTGAATGAATCAATCAGTTAATGATTGATTGCATAAATCAAATGCATAGCAATTCAAAGTAATAAATACTTAATAAACTATTATGAGGGTGCCTGGGTGGCTCAGTCCATTAAGGGTCTGCCTCCGACTCAGGTCATGATCCCAGAGTTCTAGGCTAGAGCCCCACATTGGGCTTCCTGATCAGCAGGGAGTCTGCTTCTCCCTCTGCCCCTCATTCCACTCATGGCTGTGCTCTCTTTCTCTCTCATATAAATAAATAAAATCTTTTAAAAAATAAAAAATAAACTACTATGATTTGTTTGGGCTATTCTAAAATATATAGGATTAGTTGCGTTTATGATAAATGGTTTTTGGCTATTCTTTTTTTTTTTTTTTTTTTGAATTGCATCTTTCTGTTTGGCTAACTAGCCAAGCTGTCTCTTAACACTTCTAAGCCACTGCCCATGGACTTCGTGCAGCAAGTTTTGCATTTACTTTCTGCTAAGAGTTTCTTGTGTCACATACAAAGATATATGGTACAGAATTTTGATGAGAATTTGAGAGTTTCCATACCAGGTAGGACTCCTTCCAAATAGAAGTATAGAAAACCCCAAATCAAACTGACTTAGGAAACAGGGGATTTATTGACCCAAGTAACTGAAAAGTACAAGTTTCTCTCTTTTCGGAGAACTTCTGTTTGTTGACATCATTCTCAGTGTGTCCAAACAAAGGAGGTGACTATGTCTGTTCCCTATCTTACATCTTTCTGGGTTAAAATCCAGGGGGAAAGAGGGGAGTTCTTTGTTCTAGTAACCTAAGAAAATGTTACCTTTTGTGCTATTGATTCTAATCAAATTGCCTGCACATAATTAGTTATAATTATTAATTAATCATTTTTTAAAAATGATTTTATTTATTCACTTGAAACAGAGACAGAGAGAGCACAAGCAGAGGGAGAGGCAGAGGGAGAGGGAGAAGCAGACTCTCTGCTGAGCAGGGAGCCCGATGCGGGGCTGGATCCCAGGACCTGGCGATCATGACCTGAGCCGCCCAACCAATTGAGCCACCCAAGAGCCCCAATTAATTAATCACTTTAAAAAATGGAGTTGAGGGAATTTAGTGTCTGTTCAGCTGAGTCCTCACCTCACTCGAGGCTTTGCTCAAATGTCACCTCTTCAGTCCCTGCTTTTCTGACCACTCCTTCTAAAAGAGAACCAACTTCTTTATAACCCTTATATCTATTTGACATTCCTGCAGAGCTTGTTACCTTCTTTATTTTCTTCACCAGAATGTGATCTTCACAAAAACATGATACATCTGTTTTGTTTATGGCTGCATTTGTAGTCCATAAGCACATAGAAAGCAGTCGCTAAATATTTATCGAATAAATTAAAGAACTAACTTAGATCTCTGGCCGAATGCTTTACCCCTGAGCCTGCAGTGAACTGGGTAAGGAGTGGTTTCCAGCAAGGGCTAGTAAAAGAAGAGCAAATGAATCATGAGTGGTGAAAGTCTTTGAACTTTAGTGCAGGACTTTCTGAAACCTATTTTGTATGAGCTGAGAGGTTTTCCTAAATTTATTATTTTTATCTGTCTTCCCAAAGAATCGACATAACATGTCAACAAGTCATTGACAAACGAGATGTTGTAATAGTACCATTAAATCTCTGATTCACGTATAGCTTATGGAATACTATGTTTTTGTATCATTTTCACATTACTCATGCTTAATCAATAATAATTATAATAACATTTATAGACACTGTTAATGCTTTTTAATCATAATTTGGACTCTGAATTATTATATTGTATTTGCCTTTTTTATGTTGCATCTTTTTAAAAAGCTTATCATTTTGGCATTAATTATACATTTTTGTCATTATAAAAATTCAAGGACTAAATACGTGTTGAGAAAAAGGGAAAATAACTATCCAAATGCTCACCACCCAAAATGTTGTTATCTCTGTGTATCTACAGATAACAATGCTTTTAGCTATATCTGTTTCCAGATTTTTTTTCCCCAAAAATATTTCATATGTGCCAAATTCCCTGAGGCCTTACATGTTTGAAAAATGTCTGTGAACTTTTTACTCTGAGGACAAGTTGTTTGGTAGGATATTCTTAGGTCACATTTTTCTTAGGACATTGAGACATTGCTTCATTGTATTCTGGCTCTAAAGGTTGCAGTGGAAAAGTCTGAAGCCAGACTAATTATTTTCCACTGTTTAGGTCATTTTCTTTTTTCCTCTGGCGACTTATAAGATATTTTCTACACCTTGAGCCTTGGTAACATCATCAAATGATGGCTTGACAATTATGGTTCTGTATCAGTCTTTCCAAGATAAGAATGCGTTTTCACTTGCAGATTAGTTACTATTCTTAATTTCAGCACAAATCTCTTCTAACTTGCCTTTTAATTTTGATTTCCATTTAATTCATTGTAATCATTTTGTCTAAAATAACAATTACATCACATTGAAACTCATTTTGTTTTTCTCTATCACTATCTCTTTTCACTTTAGTCAATGTTATTATTTTTCTCTTTCCTGTATATGTCCTTAAACTGGCCACTCTTCTATTGTTTTTAGTAAATATTTTGAAATATGCCCAAAGGAATATTAACAAAGGCCTGTTCTCCGTGGGAAGCTACTCGACCAGAGGCCCCTCTGGCTTGACAGAAGGGCAATCAGCCAACTCTAGCTCCTGCTAGCCTCTTTGTCCCACATAAAGAGAAAGAGAAAAAAAGCACTAAGGCATAATTCCCAGGGACTAAAGTCTACTAAAAATCTCTGAGATTTAACTATGTAAATACAGAATGCATACCGCCCCCAATACCTTATCAGCACATTAACAGGTCTTTGGCATAAAAACAACAGGTTAGAACTGAGAAACTTCAAGACACAGTCTCTACTTAAGAAAGAGTTCTTAGGGGAAACCCAAACGCAAGAGGGGCTGGGGAAAACATCCAATGAGGAAACTAGAGAAAACTAAAGCTTCTGGCACCTACAGCCATGGAAAACACTGAACACAACCCAACTCTTGGCCGGATTAACAGAAAAACCTCACAATAAAAGCCTAATTACTAATCAGTGTCTATTACCCCATACATCATGCCCAACTTTCAACCAAAAATTACAAGTTATGCTAAAAGACAAGAAAAACACAGTCTGAAGAGACAAAGCAAGTATCAGAACATGACTCAGATATGACATAGATTTTGAAATGATCAGATGGAGAATCTCAAATAAATATAGTCAATATGTTAAGGACTCTATTGGAAGAAGTAGACAATGTGCATCGACAATGGATAATGTAGTGTAGGGACAAGTAAAATGAATGACAGCAATGCTGAAAAGGATGGGAGGAAGAAGTTGGGAGCACTATGTTTATAGCAGTTTCATTCATACTCTCCAAAAACTGGAGGCATTCAAAATATCCTTCAAAGGTGAATGGATAAACTGTGGTACACCATGCAATGGAATATTATTCAAATATTTTTTTCAATGAGTTATAAAGCCATAACAAGACTTGGATTAAAATTGAATATGCTAACTGAAAGAAGCTGATCTTTAAAGTCAACATATTGTATGACTCCAACCATATGACATTCTGGGAAAGGCAAAACTACAAAAACAGTAAAAAGATCAGTAGTTGCCAGGTGTTTAGAGGGCATGTGTAGGGGCGAGTAGGTGAAGCACAGGGGTTTTTTGGGGCAGGGAAACTATTCTGTGTACTCTAATGATTGAAAAATGACATTATGCATTTGTCAAAACCCATAGAACTGTACAGCACCAATAGTGAACCTTAATGTTGCTTTGGAATTTAGTTAATAACAAGTGTATTGATATTGGTTCATTAATTATAATGAATGTCTCATACTAATGTAAGATACTATAATAGAGTACAAGGTTGATAATCTGGGAATCTCCACTTCATCTGCTCAACTTTCCTGTAAGTCTAAAACTGTTCTTCAAAAATTCAGTCTTTTAAAAAAAAATCCAGCCTTTTCATTTCACATACACAAAAAAAGATTAATAATATATTAATTTACTCACTAATTTCCCTTATTTTTGGAGTACCTACTACAGACATAC